GAAATGAGGACCCAGATTGTTGGGGGCAATATGCTGACTCTCTGTAAACCGCTTAGAGAGGGCTGAAAGCCCTATGAAGCGGTATATAAGTCTACTGCTATTGCTATTCTCCCAAAATTCAGTTCAGGGCAGGACACAAAGTATGAATTAAAGGAAACAGAAGGGTCAAATTACAATACAAAACAAGACCATCTAAATGACAAGTGCTGTTCTATATTTCACATTATGGAGCAAAATATCAAGCTGAGATGGTGGGGAGGAAACCAAAATATGTACGATAGGGAGGTTTGGACAAGATGCTGCTGCTTCTGTTGTAATTCTTTAATCTGCTATACACTTTTCAGTTTGTACAATCAGAGACCGAGTAATTTTCTGGGGTAAATGAACCTTATAGTCAATGACTTCTAAAATTCTGCTGTGCAAAAATGAATAAAGTTACCATCTGCAGTTTTCCAAATGTAGGTCAGGATTTCTTGACCACCATCTTAAGCAAAGCACCCATGGACACAAAATTATATTCCTAATTTGTTGTTCTCTTGTCTCTTTCTGGCTTTCTAAGATATATTTTTTTCCTAGTGGTTGCCCACTCATTTAGTACTCATTACTTTAACTAACTTAGGAAGAACGAGAGACATTTTCTGTAAAATTCATTGTGATAAAGGTGCTTTCTTGACACATTTGTCCTTGACAAACTCATGTGCAGACAGGAAAGCCCTTAACATATGGACTTTGGAGATAGTTTAAAGGAAAAAAAAAGTGTTGTGATAAGGACTAAAAGGAGAGAGAGAGAAGAAAAAGGACACCAATTGATCTGTTATGCCTACAAAAACAGATGTGTCCTGTTTTCTAACGTTATTAAACAAAGCTTGCAAGAGTGGTATATCTCTGCTAATCTCGTGGGCTTAGCTAGTTTAAGCCTTTAGTCCTGTGGAGCTGTTGATTGTTCTGTCTTGGAAGTAATGTGCCCAGCTCATTTAAGTTATATGAAGCATTACAGGTAGTCCTCGACTTACGACGGTTCATTTAGCGACCGTTCAGAGTTACAGCAGCATTGAAAAAAGTAATTTAAGATAACCATTGCAGCGTCCCCATGGTCACACAATCAAAATTCAGATGCTTGGCAAGTGACTCATATTTATGACGGTTGCAGTGTCCCGGGGTCAAGTGATCACCTTTTGTGACGTTTGTGACAACCACCTCAATGGGGGAGAAGGGGGGGGGGCAAATTTGCTTAACAACTGCAGTAATTCCTTTAACAAGTGTGGCAAAAAAGGTGGTAAAACGGGGCAAAATTCACTTAACATCTGCATCACTTACCAACAGAAAATTTGGATTCCAATGTGGTCATAAGTTGAGAACTATCTGTACTTCTATAATCCAAAATAATTTGATTCTTAGTATCAATAAAATATTATTTACCCCCTATTTTGATATGGAACATAATTGAACCAAATAATTCTTGTCTCCATTTTGTTGGTTAAATAACCTGAAGGAAAAATAGCATATGAGTTTTGGAATCCAATTTTTTCCCCCAAAGCAAAATTGCAATTTTTTAATCTGCAATGTGCAAAAACCATCCGTGTGTACTTTTATTGTCTACTTCGCATAGCTTCAAACGCTTACCAGGCATCACTCCCTTAATATCACACTCTGTGCTCGACCTATTCCTGTGAGTCAGACGGAGGATGAGTTTCTTTGCGGCTTCAAACTGTTTTGTAGCCATCAGCCAGCGAAGAGATTCTGGGAAAATACTTCAAAGGGAGAGAATGTGTTAGTCAAGGTTCTTAAAGGGTCACCAGCCTTTTTGAAAAAGTTTTTTTTTTTAGTTTTTAATATCATCTTCTTTTTCTGTCTGGATGAATTTTGTTTTCTTTCTTTTTTAGTTGAACTATGAATAACAAATATTATCAAGTAGCTAAATTAACCCAAATGCAAGATGCATAAAGAGAAAAAGATGCCAAAAACATCTACTAAAAACTAAGTAGAGAAACAGGTACTATACATCAGAGGTGGGGGTTCCTACCAGTTCGCACCTATTCGGTAGAACCGCTTCGTCAAATCTACCGAACCGGTTAGAAGAGGTTCCACCAGTGGACCCGGAAAGCAGGCCACACCTACAGAAGAGGTTCCAAGATTTTTTGAAACCCACCACTGGTCCTTGGATANTTTGCTGACTCAATTTGCAAAAAAATCTGTAAACCGCTTAGAGAGGGCTGAAAGCCCTATGAAGCGGTATATAAGTCTAATTAATAAATAAATAATACATAAAAATAAATAAATACATTGTATTAGCAGAGGCTGCTAATCCCAGTCTCTGCTTCTCCATGAGTTCGTTGTATGGAAATTCTGTTTCTGGCAGCCCGC